TGAGGCTTTGCTCTGGCAAAGCCTCAGAAGCGCGGGAACCCGCCGCTGCTGCAGCTTCGCTCCCGGTGCCTGTGGTCTGCTGGGGACGGTCTCCAGCAGACCAGGGGCACCGGGAGCAGCTTACGAACGGGGCTCTCTCACCCCGGAGCTCGCAGGTAGCAATCCGCCACCTCGACCTCCGGGGCGAGAAAGCCCCGTTCGTAAGTGCGGATCCGACGTAAGGCGGATCCGCGTAAGTTGGGGACTGCCTGTAATTATAAGACATAGACTCTCAGTTGCACAAATCTGCCATGGTATATAATGTGAAAACCTGATTATGAGAATACTATTTTTATGAATGAGAACTTAAGAAACTCAGTTGATTTATTCTCTTGAGTTAGAGTTGAATGAGAGACATCAGATAAGAAACAATTAGTATATTTTACTAAGTCCATCATATTCTCATCAACCTCTTCTCCTGACTCACTGTGCAGTGCAGTTTTCCATGAAAAGATGTTTCTGAATGTGATAATGTTGTCTGCAGGTTGCATATGCCAGAGGCCATAGCAGGGAGCCAGAAGAGGAGATGTACAGTGCAGAGAATTTCCGTCGCATTGCTCGCAGTCTCAGTGGGACAGTCATCACAAACAGGGAAGAGACCTTGGTCTCCTCTCATAGTTTTGTAAGTAGTATGAACCTCAACATTGCAAAGAGATGACTTGTTAGGATGGAATTAGGAGCTGCTTTTCCTCTTCCTTTACTACTTGCTAGTGGAGTTGATGAGGGAAAGGTGAAAGCCGCACAACTGAACAGCATTGATGCCAGTTCAGAAACACGAAAATTTGTTCCAATGAGACATTCCCTTTCTTCTCTGTTAGATGAAGTCAGTTTTTATTTAAAAGCAGGTAGCTTGGCTGCTGTAAGAGTCACCACACCTAGAACTGTGCAAACCACAGCTTGTATGTGTGTGCTCATGAATGCGCACTAACAGAATGAAACCTGGTAAAGAGCACATTCAGTTGGAAGTTTTCTGGTTTGGCTATTGAATTACTTATATGTTCCAATTTTTAATAGAGAGCCCAGTGATTTAACAAAAGAATTCTTTAACAGTATGTACAAGGACACTTTTGCTTCCTTGTTGGTGTTTATAAGGCATATCTTCATCAAGAAATAGTGATTATACACAAAGTGCTGTCACTTACATAAAGTAAACAGCTTAAAAGAGAGAAATGTTTTTCTCTCTTGTCTTTGTAGTCTCAGGTTAGGCATAATCAATGCTTTTTTTGTGACTGTTGTACTGCCCGGTATGCATTACTGGCACCTCCATTCGCAGTACTGACACCTCCAGTCAAAGCTTACCTGGAAAGAATGGAGCGTACCGGCACTTCTGTACGCAAATGTCCGACAGTCAGCTCGGCTGCGTGTCTTAAAGGGGCCGCATCTCTTAAAAGGGCTCAACAACTTTTCCTCTGGAGTACAGGCACCCTTTTTTTTTTTTAAACATAAAAAGCACTGGGCATAATGAATATGGAACTTGAAAAATGTACAGTATTTTCAGGCAAAAATTGTTTGTTTTTAAGGTTGATTATATCCAGTTTCACTGTATTTTTTCCATAAAGGAAATACAGACAGGCATGATTTAAAAAAGTTAAACAAAAGATGGTGTTAGAGTAAACTGAACTTTACTTCATCAGCTGAAAGGATTCAAAGTGATTTGGTTGTTGCCTTGCTGACCCTACTGCTCAAAGGGTAGGAGAAAATATGCTCTCTTGGTCAGCCTGATTATTCAGGGAATGAAAAATGTTGCTGGGTCTAATTGCATTGAGTAATATTTCCCTTTCAGAGTTCCACAAAATTCATGTAATTGAAAAGAGGAATTTTGGTTGAATTGTAAGTCTGAAGAAAGCAGGAACAGATTGCTGTCAGTATTTAACAGAGTGATTTCTTCAAAGAGAGGGAACTTTTTAAGAAGAGTATGCAGTAATGTGATGTATTGGGTTTGTTCTGATTTTTTTCACTTGCTCTGTTTATCCTTTTTCAAAGAAAAACTAAAAACATTGGCCTTGTTTAAAAGCTTCAGAATAAAGCTTTTGGAGAGACCAAGTTGCAAAGACAGGGTTAAGCAAGGCTGAATGTATAGCATGGGTCAAGTTTTAGGCCTCATCCTATAATACAAGTTGTACCAGTTTAACTAAAATTTGTTTTCAAATCTATTTAATTAAACCAGTGCAACTCTCGTTTAGGTAAGGCCTTATCCAAGTCTTGCATTGATGCAAAAGCTTAAACTCCACTACCATGTCAGAAAGTTTGTCTTCCATCACTGTTTAGCACTTAGCAAAGCATGTTTGGCAAGGGAGATGCTTCAATAATGTACTTTTTCAGGCATGGGTGGCCCAATCTTTATAAGGTGATTAGAAAAAGCAATCTGCTCTTCCCTTTCCCAGCACAAGGTTATTCTGAAATGCGAGTATGATGGTGGGGGTTTTCTGATCTGTTTAGTTACCCAAGAACCTTTCTGGGGTGGGCAGTGTTGTTACCTTGCATTTCTTCCTCTTTTGTAGAGAGATGCACGTACTTGTTGTGGTGACTCATCCATCTTTCCTTCCTGGATCCCCACCATGTTTGCTTGATTGAACCCAGCTTTGTGTTTAATCATCATTTGTGGTTTCTTTCCTCTCTCATTTTGTCAAAAGGAAGCATCAAATGTGAGGAAAATGCCAAAGGAAACCACGCACCGTTCTTCCAGCTCCACTTCCCTCCCTTTTCCCCACGATCCTTCTATGTTGCCCTCTGATCCCCACCACTACCCAACCCAGATGCAGAACCCGTACCATGATGCACTGATGCCTAGCATGGTGGGCAAGGCACGTAGACCATCAGGTAATCACAGGACTCTTCACCCTCCTGCATGATCAGAAATGCTGTTGGAGATGCTGTCCCTGATGGTGCTGAAGTACAGCTCTTTGGATCTTGTCTGCTATGGTGATGGTTTTACCAGCTGCCTGAATCCCTTCAGAAATTTGGAAGGATAAATTGCCTTTTTCTTCATTGTCCCCTTGACACTGCTTGAATGCTATGCTAAATGGATGTAACACAAAGGGACAGTCTTTTGGGTTAGAGCTATGGCTGTTAATTGTTTCAATAGTTATAGTAGTTTTCATTACATATGAAGAGGTACCTGGCCAACAAAAGCATCTGGAAAAATCAAATGGGACTCTGTTCACTAATTTATATGGCATCTATAACACACCATTTCTATTAGGTCATTAACTACAGTACACTGTTTTTAACATTAGAAGAAATGAAGCTATAAATGACGCACACATTCCTCAGAGATGACCCAAAATTGCACCCACATTTTTTACCCAAAGAATTTTGATACTTAACTATGTTTGTGGGAGGGGCAGAAAGTGATGCCTGAGGAGGAGCTAGCTATTAGTACTATAGTCTATTAGATAAGATACTTTCCTCCAAAATCACTTGTGTGAGAGATTTGTTGGAACTACAATTACTACTGATGCTAAAAATTGCTGCATGAGAGTCCATCATGAAAATGATCCAGAAACCCCCAAAACATGTGTCTCCAATTTTCTTGTTGGGCTCCTCCTTCAGTGACACTGAACATGTTACAAAAAGTGCTGACTATTACAGAAATCTGGTGTTCCATTCGTGCATGACAGCACCTTCAGAAAGAGAGGTTGCAGCTCTTTTTTGGCGCTGGGTGGAATTACAAAAGGAAAGTGAATTGCAAGGAGTATGCAGCTTAGTTTTCACTCCTTCCATATCTTAGGTCAGTAAATGCCGGAGTGTAGGGTTGGTTCAGCTTACCATTTCACATCAGCTGTGAGCCACAGTTAGAGGTTTTGAGAGGAAAATAAAATGAAATTGATTGAACTCCCCCTTTTCCCCACAGGAGATCAGAAGAACATCCAGAAACTTTTGGTTGTGCCTGACGGGGGTGAAACTTTCCGAGGTGAAGACCACCAAGGTGTGGCACTGAACTACAGGAGTATCCCTTGCACTCAGAAATGCACTTCTTCCCAAGGGCAGAGGCCTCTTGTTGACCACCATATGGGAGATGACGCATCAAGGGTCTCTGGCCAGTGGCTGCAGATGAGCCACACTGCCAGACAAACAGCAACACTGCCTGATGAACAAACTTTGCAGGTGGGATACACTGCCCAGCCAGACAAAGGGTTACAGGAAAGTTTCCTCCAGCAGCCCACCCGACACCAAAAAATGCATGACTCCTATGCCGTCAGTTGCAGGCCACCTCCTAGCACAGACTATAGCACCTTCAGAGTACCACAACGGCTCTCTAGGAATCGTGGCATCTCTCTGGTCTGCCCTGTGCCTCCTCCACATACTAAGCCCCCTGGACCAAAGAGAGTAGATATGCCCCCAGAAGAAGACTGGCGTCAGAACAGCTTTACCCTTCAGCCTGGTAGACTGAGAACACTTCAAGTGCACATGATGGATGGAACTTTCTCTTCTGCCTCGGATGTGCACCGAAGGATGATGGCTTAAGCAGCAGCAGCTGACACCTTGCAGAATAATGGCTGGTGTGGGCTTATTCCACTCAGTGTGTTCCCAGGATTGATCACCCCATCGTGAGCAGACTGTCTGAACTATAGCTGTTGCTTGAGGTGCAGTTGATAGCAAGGCAGCTAACCCTTCAGTCAGCTAACTCTCTGCTAGTGTTGTCTTTAAAATGTAGCTAGACTGTATGTGGAGATGGTATTTCTTTCCCTCTATTGCTAAAGGAGGAACTCGCAGCTATCCTAGTCTCAGCACAAGCACTCTAGTCAGTAGTAGGTGTAAGGGGCACTGGCTATGGATAAGCTCACAGATTCGTGCTTATTTGAAGAAAAGATGTACCTGTTTTTAAAAACTCCAGCATGAAACATAATTATGGTAAATTCATTGCATACAAAGCCAACATGCTCTTTTCCTTTTGTTTTCTTCTCCTCCCTCTTGTGTTCCCTACCGGAGGAAAACCTGATCCACCTTCCAGGTTCCAGCAAATATAAACACAGCAGGACTGGTGTTAGGCAAGACAAACCCAACATTCAGGGTGCTGAGACTTCAAGTCCAGACTACAGCTGTAGTTGCTACTGAGGAAGGGGGAGAGAGACATTGTCCCACACTATACCAGAACTTCCCCACTTCCCTCAGGCAGACTAAAAATGCTTCAAACAGACATGACTGTTAATGCTGCACACGTAATTACACCAATGTAAACACAGAATAAGCTTAACTATTTTAGGGTCAAACATACTTGCTTTTGTAAGTATTTTTCAAATAAATCTATGAAATAGTTCTATTTAACTGCCTGTGTAAGAATCATCTTCATTTTTTATTTGGTTTTACTCAGCAGCTGGCCTGAAAACTCTGATCTATGTTTTTAATACACTAACTGGAATAAAAAAAATTACATATAAAGTTGTTTGCAGTGTTGTTGTAGCTGTGCCGATCCCAGGATATGAAACACATCAGGTAAGAGAGGTAATACCTTTTTCCAGATCTGAAGAAGAGCTCTGTGTAGCTCAAAAGCTTGTTTCTTCCACCAATAAAAGATACTACTTCACTCACCTTGTCTCTTTCAGACATAAAGGTAATTAATTAACAAACCTTTTATAAAAAAGCACTTGTTAGAGTAGAGGACTGAATCAGGAATCCAACATTTAGTTCCTGACTCCTCCATTTGCTTGCTTTGTGGACTAGTTGCTTTGCACCACCATGCTTCATTTCCCCCTGTAAAATTGGGGTGGTTCTTCGAGTGATTGCTCATATTAGTTCCAAGTTTTTTTTTTTTCCTCTAGCAGTACCCGTTGGTCAGCTGTGCAGGCCCCTGAAGAGGCACCATTATGGTGCTGTATGTAGTCCACATCCTACCACTTGTGCTACCTGGTACCTGTGCTACCAGCAGACTACACTAGGCTATAGACCTTCTGTCTGTCCTGATCAGAAGCGTGTCTATAGTGAGGGAGCAATCTTTGGCACGACATCTGTTTAGAGTGGGAGTGCTGCTGGGAAGGGGACTGTGGTGGTCTGAGTGTGGGTTTGCCCCTGTGTTGGGTCCCAGAGTGGGTGGCACTGGCCTTGGCATCATATCCAGAACCATTTGGAGAGCCTCCAGCATAGATGGTAAGCATAACTGGAAACTGCTGCTGGAAGTAGGTGGTGAGGAGCATGCCTGACTGCATCCTTCAGTTGGGGCCTTGTAGGTGTATCATGTCCCAGCTTGCCCTTTGCCTTCATGGGTCCAGAAATCTGCCTCTTCCTGCCTTTCTGGATGGAGCCATGGTCAGTGACTGGTGCCAGCTTCCAAATGATACCACCAGTCACTGGGGAAAGGGCCAACCCATAAGGAAGGCTTTCAAGCAAATGTCCCTCTCCTTTTTTAGTAGTTGGCCTGAACGGCTTACAATCTCAGCATTTATTGATTGGGCCTCTCCCAAGCACCATAGGCAGCTGTTGTGAGGATCACTAAAGGGCATAAGCCTCTTGCAGGACCACAGGACTTGAAGCCTGGGGACTGGGGCATGCTCCATTCTGAGGCAACATCACAAAAGGACCTATCAATATTTAGTAGAGACTTGTGAAGTAGCATGCAATTGTTAGGATTGCAATGGGAGCCTTTTTAAAATAAGAATGTACCATAACCTAAGGGCAGGAAAGAAAGAGCACATAGGCAAAGGGGGGCAGCTGCCTGGGAAATCTTAGAGAGTCCTCTGGTAATGGCAGATGAAACTGGAACTCCTGGCAGTATAGTGCTGTTAAAGGGAAATGTATTTAAAATGCTATTTCTGCCACTGTCCTTGGATAATTAATGGGGGAATTGATGCCACTGAGCTTAGTTATGCACATCTTGAATACTGTCTCAGGTCTAGACCCATACGTAGGGAAACAGTTGAAAACTAGAGAAAAATACAACAAAGGATAAACATCTGAGTGAACCAAAGGTTCTGGTTTAATTAGCACTGTTGTCACACTCCCATCTCAGTATCCTTTTCTTTCTTTGTCTTTCTTTCTTCTCTTCAGCATCTGAAGAAGTGAGTTGAAGCTCATGAAAACTTATGCTCAGATACCCTTATAAATGTTAGTCTTTAAAGTGCTATTGGACTCCTTGTTGTTTCTGAGTGAACTAAATTTTTTGTAGAGTTTAATGAAGAAGAGATCCAGGGGCGATAGAATCACAGTCTATTAATACCTTGTAGATAGAAATATAAATGAAGGAAGGGAATTGCTTCGTCCCAGATGGTAGAAGAGTCAGTGCCTAAGGCTAAGGAAAGAAAAGTTTGAATGAGATAATAGGGGCAGAGAGGGGGAAAATGCTTATATCACAGCAAATGGACAGTTCCTGGGAGAAGTTAAGACACCTTGCCTGCAGAGGTTAGCAAGCAAAGTAAGACCATGTCTATGGTATGGGGACTGTAGTAGTGCATCTGCACTGACATAACCTTGCAGTGGAGAGGCAGTCTAGAGCGATGGAAAAATGGAAATATTTCCATTACTATGTGAACACCACCTCTACTATGAATGGTAGCTACGTTGACAGGAGTACCCTTGCATTGACTTAACTGGGTCTGCACTGGGGTTAGGTTGACATAGTTATGTCACACTCCTGACCACTGCAGCTATATTGACTTAATTTTAAGCACAGACCAGGCCTTTAGATAAATCTGTGTGTGTGTGGGGGGGGGGGGGGGGAGAGAGGATTGAGGTGAGAAGCCCTGCAAAACATGAGAGTTGAGCCACGTGCCTTGGGCCAATCTGTTTGTTATAGGATGTGGAATGTGCTGATGGCTTGCTTAACTTCTAATTGCATCCCATCTTGCAAAAGACTGTTCATAGCAAAGGAGGATGGAAGAAGAAATTGGTGAATGAAGCACTGGGTGCAATAATTTACTGGCCAAAAAAGAGGTGAGAAGCCCTGCAAAACATGAGAGTTGAGCCACGTGCCTTGGGCCAATCTGTTTGTTATAGGATGTGGAATGTGCTGATGGCTTGCTTAACTTCTAATTGCATCCCATCTTGCAAAAGACTGTTCATAGCAAAGGAGGATGGAAGAAGAAATTGGTGAATGAAGCACTGGGTGCAATAATTTACTGGCCAAAAAATGAAGTTTCGGTTGACTTGAAACTCTTTGTGAATTTGTAGTGAGCTCTCTGAATAGTTTTGACTGAAATGAAAGAATAGAAATGTTTCAGGAAATATCTAAACAAAACATTATGTTTTGACCCAACATGAAATGTTTCATTCTGGTTTCAGGCATTGTGAGAAGCAAAGGAGGTCTAGACTCTAATGACAGCATGGGGCCTGGGGAAGGAGGTCTTTCCTCTGCTTGATGAGAAGGGATTGGACCATGAGTTTCCAACCTCTTGAGTGAGTGCTCCAGCCACGGGGTTCTGGGATATTCTGGGATGGACTTCCTCAGTCTGTCCAGTTGTAGCTATTCCACCATAAATAGCCATTTGGAACATGGATTTGAACTTGGGACTTCAACATCCTAGGTGAATGCCCTAATAAGGAACATTTTAGACAGGTCTTACTGAGATGCAGAAGAATGGAATGTTTCATTTTAGAGTCTTGCCTTCATAATTTCACTCTCCTGACTATCTTGGCTTCCTTTGTCAGACCTGCTTTATGGCTGTAAGGTTTGCTCTGTGTATTTGTCTCATGGGATCTGGAATACATCTCTCTTTCCTTGGTGTTTCACTTTCCTTCTCAAAGTTTTTAAAAGTCTTCTTTGGATAATTAGATGATTCTAGGACAGCAAAACTGGCACAACAGATATATAGATTTTTAAAAAGACCATTATGATAATGTAGCCTAATTTCCTGCCTAATAGTTTCAGGGGGTTGCTCTGTTAGTCTATAACTGTGTTTTTTTTTTTTTAAATCAATGAATAGTCCTGCAGCACCTTAAAGGCTAAGAAAAAATAGATAGTCTCATGAACTTTAGTGGGCACAACACATTACTTCAGACAAATGGAGTTAAGGGGGCCAGAGTACAAATAAATAGGAAAAAAAGAGGGAATGGGGAGGGAAAGAAGGGGAAAAAATTGGCAAAAAATATTCTCAATTAGAGTGTTGATGCGAAATGATGGTTATAGAGTGGGTTCTGAGTACCTAGTGCTTAGCTTTTTATGTCATTAGGATGTGGAATGTAGCAACCCATCCAGTTCACGTCTTTAGAATGTCATCAGATTAGCATTTAACCCAGCAATTTGTGATTGAATGATAAGCTAAACCATATTTCTTATTCTGCCTGGAGAAAATTAATTCTGTAATAAGATAAACTGAGTAAAAAACAAAATATATTTGACTGTTTCCAGTAGAGCAGGGGAGGTCTCAGTCCAAGCATCCTCTGATTAACATAATGCCCTTTCAGCTTACAAAGGGCTGTCAGCACCTCAAACATACATTGTCTCTGCCTGGGTGGCAGGTCGTGTTGATTCAATTTCATCACAAATCTTCCCTCCCCCTCTGTAGGTTGGGATGGATTGGCTTGATATCCCCAAGCTTCTTTTTGAATCTTCAGTGGTGGTAGAAAAGTGCATCCATTGTTCAAATAATGAACGGGTTACCTAGAGAAGTAGTGGAGTCTTCATCCCTAGAGGGCTACGTCTACACTGGCCCCTTTTTCGGAAGGGGCATGCTAATTTTGAAAGTGGGAATAGGGAAATCCGCGGGGGATTTAAATAAACACGTCTGCCACTTTATTCCGGAGGATCGGTCCAGTCTAGACGCTTTTTTTCCGGCTTTTCCCCAAGCCGGAAAAAAAGCGGTGGACGTGTTTATTTAAAATCGCGGGGGATATTTAAATCCCCCGCGGATTTCCCTATTCCCACTTTCAAAATTAGCATGCCCCTTCCGAAAAAGGGGCCAGTGTAGACGTAGCCCTCTAGGGATGAAGACTCCACTACTTCTCTAGGTAACCCGTTCATTATTTGAACAATGGATGCACTTTTCTACCACCACTGAAGATTCAAAAAGAAGCTTGGGGATATCAAGCCAATCCATCCCAACATTGAGTAAAGCAAGTGCTGACATCACTGAATAGGAAGTGAAACGGGGCTTCAGTTTCAGAAAGATTCTCAGCAGTTTATCTATTTGCCTAGATCTGGGCACACAAAATTTTTGGGAAGATGGGCTGTGTGGGCAACTTGTCAAGAGAGCAAGGCTACACCCAGCTGATACAGTTAGGCCACATGTAGGCATGTTTTTGCATTCTTAAATTCACATCACTACAGTACCCATGGCCTGGTGTAGATGGCTGTTCGTATGTTCTGGAGCTGGAGTAGAAAAAAAATGTTTAAATATCATTTTAATGAGTAGTTTTGTACCATGACTAAATTTGCCTTTTTATTAGTGAGACAACAGGTTTCTATTCCAACCACAGTGTTTCCTTCACGAATGTAGTCCCTAATTTT